AGCTTCCAAATTTTCACCACCTAGCCTTTCACTAGTATTTACTGCTATGTGATATTTTTAGCTGTCTCCCTTTTGAGTGGTACTTCCATGGTTCACAGAAGGTATGTTAATATTTAGAGTTATTTCTATGCCTCATTGTAAAAATGTATGTTTTTTTCTTCACTACTCGTTGTGCTATTTTATTTTGCAGTCCTCTTTGCATAACTTTACAAGGGAAAAGATGACTCTTCATTAGTCTGCACATCAAAACAGAGAGTCCTACCAGGTAATGTGCGAATAAAAGGAACTAAATAATTGCTTCATCACAACTCATAATTTTCACATTCCTTCAGCATTGCAAAATACAACCTGTGCTCTGAGCATCCTCACATTTCACCCTTGCTGACACTGGTGGCAGCTCCAAGTCCTTGAAAGCTGTGAGGAAAGGCATGCCAGGCTTCAAAAAGGCTGTGCTGAATTTATGAAAGGAGAAAGTGAACTGTGTACTAGTCTCCTGTTCTCAACATTTCTCTTGCTCCCTTCCCAAATGATTCCAAATGCAAAGTCCTGATAATCATCGTACAATTTCCTCTCTTCTGCATAGATGTAATTGTTTTTTGAATTCAGGCACTTTTTCCTAACATACATAATTAGTCTTTTCCTGTTCTCTTCAGAACATTACTTTCATTTTTCTTCTCCTTTATAGATCTGCTGAAGTGCTCTGTGCTGCCTGAGATTTGCCCTTATTTCAAAGAATGAGCCTTTTCTAGGATACTGCATTGAGATGCAAAACTGTTACCGTTTCTGAATATAGCAGTTGAAGACAGAAGGACTCATCCCTGACAATGTGGAGGAAGAAGGCAATGCTGAAGCTTCTTGGCAACACAGGGTGATATGAGCATACTACACACTGATTTGGGGTTGGAGAACGATCTTCTCATTCCCCCAAGCATCAGGTGTTTTGGTACCCACTATAAGATCTCCCTTCTATGTTATTAGAAATCTAAAGTTCCTATAAAAGACATACAGGCTTATTTTCAGATGCCTAAACACTGTGACTGATCTAACCTTTAATCTTTCTGCCCTACTTCCTTTGCTGTAAAACCATTCTGACTCTCTGCCCACAACCCACAGGGTCTACCCTAATCCTCTAAAGCTACAGATTGCCTTTGGGTAACATCAGGCATCCAGAGTAGCACAGACTTGTGCGAGTCTCCTGAATTTGTCTCATCTTCCCAGCCTTGAGCACCAGTTGGAAGAACTGGTGGACACTGCCATGGATGAAAACAAGTTTTGAGTTTCCTAGAAGGATAAACAAACCTGAAGAAGTGGTTTTGCACTCAAAACAGCTGACCAGCTGCATTGCTGCAATCTAATGTTAACATACTAACTTTGTGATCTCAGCTCATTCCTCATGCTACCTTAACATGACAATTGTAGGATGAGCTGGACTTTTGTGCCTTCAAGGGAACTTCTAAGGCTGAACAGAATTAGGAATGGAGAAAGGAACCAGACCTCCATGGATGAGAAACCCAAAAAGAAAAAGCTCTGTGCTTGTTAGCAGTGTATCGTAGCTTAAGTGCATTTTCGTCTCCTGATTTTGGAGTCTGTTCTTACCCTTTTTTTACATGCACTATGGCCTAGGGAGTAACACAAAGCATGAGCTTTCCTAATACTACCTTTCTCTGGAGCACAGACTATGTGCACTTAGCCAAAGCATTAGAGAAGACAATTCATGCTTAAACTTAATTACTGGAGAAAATTGTTAACACATTTTCAACAAATTTAGGGACACTATGGCACTGGATAGAACAAAGAGTACAATGCCTTTGTACTCTTTGTTTTTGAAGGAAAACAAAGCTTTTGGCTGTTTATCCTTCATCAATGAAAACTTCTCAAGAATGAAAAGGCTTCTTTTTTTTTTTTTTTCCTGTCATGATGATTAGAAGATGCAACAACAAACCTGCAAGACCAATCACCAAACATGATATATGTCTGGACTTACAGAAAAATATTGCGAAAAGTCAGTCTCAACTAACAAGGCTGGAAGAGAAACTCAATGAAAAACCTTCTCTGTTTCTGTCTCTTTTTCAGGAATCAAGAATATTGATAGTTGCACAGAAGGTAGACTGAATGCAGCATGAGAATGGCCTCTGCTTCTAGCCATCAAAAAGACCAAGAGCTCAGCAGCGTAATTAAGCTACCAAAGAAACATCCCTGTTGATGGACAAGGCAGTATATCGGGAAGAAGTGTGTATTCCAGATGGAGATATGGAAGAAAGAGATTTTTGGGAACTATGACTGCTTATAGTCCTCTAAAATCATTACTTGCTGATGATCTTCTGTAGTATCACACCTAACAGGTTCCTGTGGCTTAATATGAGTGTCACTCATGGCACTGAAATTTAGTTTACTACAAAAATATTTTATTTTTTTTAATTTAATAGAAAAGTCAAGGCATATTAAAGATGACAGTTATTTCTATCAAAAGGTTCAGAAATACACAAAATAAGGTTTAAAGATTCTCATTAATTTAAAAAGTTTTTCATGACAGCCCACAGATTTCTTAGAATTCTGAAAATAGGTTTAAAAATTTGCATAAACTGGCAGAAGTTCCCTAATGCTGTATAAAAATTGCCCAAAACAGAGAGAGGGCTGGTGGGGGAAATGAAGAGAAAAATCACTTAAATCTCTTAGTTTTACACTGAAAGATGTGCCAGTGTTTAACAGCTTGTTGTTCTTGCTGCGTGGCAAGGCTACTACAGGAAGCAAGCTTACAAGTCATTGAATCAGGGAACCATTAAGGTTGGAAAAGACCTCTGATATGATCTAGTCCAGATCAACTCAACACCACTATGCCCACTAAACCTTGTCCTGAAGTGCCACATCTACACGTGTTTTTAACACCTCCAGGGATGGTGACTTCACTGCTTCCCTAGGCAGCCTGTTCCAATGCTGATCCCACCAGATCATGAAAGATAAACTTCTGAGATAACTAATAAAACTGTGCTAAGTGGCAGTCGGAAGTATTTGTTGCTGTGGTAGCTAAACCCCCTTCCATGTTTACAGCTTATGCCTTTGGCTGTACTGCATACAGGTACCTGTAAAGCACACAAGAGCCATCCTGCTGAGTACAGCTCAGACTCATCACCACCACATCATCATCATGTGCATCATCATGCTTTTACCATGCAACAAGCAGATTGTGAATGAGTTCTCTGCATGCTACATGAGGGAAGCTTGCTTTCCCACACAGGAACTCCCCCTAACCATAGTTTATTATTTGTGCTCACCTGAGAGCAAAGGTTGCTCCCACCTGGAAGCAGAGCTGAGCAAAAGAGCCTCTGAAAAGCTGGGAACTTTGCCAAGTATCTTGCATTCCTGGTGCTGCTCTCTTAAGCCAATATACCAGGATTTTTACTAGAAACCTCCCAGCAATCAAAAGCTGCTACTGCTTGACTTAAAAGCCAAGCCTTCCTGCTGCTATATGAATGTTGGATCCTCTGTGCATGTGAAAAAAAACAGGGCTTCTGTAACACTCGCTCACCTGCAGTCAACACACCTTTGCTCAGCCTCATAACTTGAATCAAAGCAAAACTCACATGACCAGCCCCAAAATGAGCGTTTTGTTTCACAGCATGTGCAAGATCCCATCAAGAGCCAACCCAGGTGCTGTTTTCATTCTGCCCACACACAAATCTGTGACAAAAAGCAAACTCATTCACACAGGTGGTGCATTTCACTCCCCTAAAAGTCAGGATTTTCTCATACCCTTCATTTAATGCCACTGCTGTCAAATCCATAACATATTGTAACAAAAACAGCCTTTATGTAACCCAATAAATAAAAGTCACCAAGGCAATAGCCATGCATAAATTTTAACTAAAAACATTTTGTTAGAAGAACATGAATGTCCTCTGTAAATCGGGTAGCATTTTAAAGTAATGTTCTAGCCATTGTTAATACTTTATTGCTATTCATCATAGAACCATTAATCATGGTGAACTCATTTGGTATTAATGTGGATGTCATAAAGTACTTCTGTTGCATTTCAATTATAACTCAGCCTTTAAAATGCTGCCAGCACTACATGGAAAGCTTTGAAAATCAAATTGGAATAGTCTTTTCAGAGATAACTACAATTGCATTCTGTAATGGAGGAACAAACTTTTCCATCCCTAATGCCTACACTCCAGGGACTAAGGAGCCCATGGGGCCATACACTGACCCAGGGCTGGGAACAAGGAAGAGGGAGCCCAGTGGGAGGTTCCAGGGAAGCTGTGGCCGTCCAGACTCAGACATCTTCCTCCCCCAGAATGAGAGTAGTAGAAGCAATCCTTTGGGCTGCTTCAACCAGGGCCAAGTGGCAGCCAAGTGGCCATACTTTCAGGCCCCTAAGGAGATTTCTTTTTTTTCCTATCAGTCTCATGATTCCCCGAGGCACTATCTTACTTCCAGGCTGAGTGCTTTGTTTTTTTCTCTCATGTGTAGTGTCTGCCCAAACGAAAAAAAACCAACAAAACAGAGTAAACATACATGTATCTACAACCTACTGTCTTTAGAGACAGCAAAGGAGTATGTAGTACATCAGAGTGGACCTAAGGGAGCTGGTATCCTGACCAATCTGTTGACAGCTTAAAAAAAAACCAAACACACCCTCTTTCTGTCCTCAAGAGGCACTGAAAAAGGCAAACAGGCAGCACAAAATGCAACATGGACCTAAACAATTATCACCCCCTTGCCATCAGGGAAACCAGAAACTTACGTGAATTTACCTTGGTAAACCAGGATTTTTGTTCCCTCAACTGCCAGCAGAGCTCCCAGAAGTGTTTCATATGCAGAATCAAAAGACAACAGTTCAACAATCATAACGCTCCTCATCAGAAACAGTGTTAAATAGAGAAAAGGCAAGCATACTTCTCACTAGCTAAGGAAACTTTTTTAAATTCTTGCATATAATTCCCATTCTACTTTATTTGGATCATCAACGTAACACGTAAGCACACAGGAAAAATTCCTACCTTGGGAGCTCTGGCATGTTTTCCACATCTGGCATCTTTGACAAGGCTGATATCTAGCAGCTCAGTCTCCTAGAATGAAAAATTGCAACACAGATAATTATTACATTAGTCAAAAAACCCTGTTAACAGTGCCCTACTTCCCACATCTGTCAGGGGTTTGTCTGCTTGCAATGATGCCTGTCCAAACTGAGGACAGTTTCAAGCAGGGCTCTGTTGCTCCTATTGTCAAATAGCAATACTAAAAGCTCAAAGAACTTCCCTTCCTTGAAAAATATACAGGCCTCTTATAATATATAGAATATACAAAAGTCGTATGAGTCAAGCTTATTTCCTAGATAACTAAATACGAGAAGCTGAAATATTTTTTTTCTATTTAATACAATTTTAGCTTTTTGATGCTAGTCACACTGTGAAAAAGGTGTTGTTACAAACAGAAAACCCCATCTCTGTAATAAAAAACCTACTTTATTATTGCCAGAACATTTTGAAAAGTGCACATAAAACTCAAGAAGTGTTATATCGACAATGATAACCAGTTCCAATAATTTTAGTGACTACTGTTCAGTAAAAAACATGTACTTTTGACAAGCATTTCATAGCTCATGCTTTACTCTCAAGTTGTAGGTTATACAACACATGCTACACTTGGAACAAAACTGGCAAGTGATGACAGCTTCTGTTAGGCAAATTCCTGTCCTCCCCTGCACACGTGTAACAAGAATCTCCTTTCACTGATAACCTCTCTGGTCTCCACCCTCCCTGCAGGTACCTGGCAGCACAGGAAATACAGGGGCTGAGCTGAGCCCATGGTGCCCTGGGTGCATCTGTCAGTGCAGGTGATCCTCTGGGATCAGCACAGAGCATTCATCTCTCCAAACGTGGCAAATTATATACCAAACATAATTTTCCTCAGTCCTATCCTGTTACACAGAATTTTAACCATGTTTATTCTTTCTTGAATGCCTTAACATGTATGAGCAGGGAGCCTTTGGAAAGAGGAAGGATGCTGGAGATGGGAGCAGTGTGACTCCTGGCTGCCGCCTCCCTCACAAGCACACACATCCAGGCAGCATTACGTGTGCTTTCCCAGGAACACCACCAACTGTCCTGCGAGACACAGACAGAGCATCTGACCTGATTTGGCATTACTTGACAATCCTAAAGAACATTTTAATGCTGCCTGCCTCATTTACACTAGCTTTTGGACTAATAGCCCATGCTAGCATGGCTTGATTACATACTAAATATAGTCACAAGTACTTCAGCAGAAGTGTGACCATGCCATAGTTGGAGCTACACCACCTCAGTGCATTTCAGCCTGCCAGTAGTAATTGCAAACACTGTGTGGAGAACTTGAAATGCCTGTGCTGGAAAAAGCCACTAAGTTTTTTTTATTCCAAGGAGAAAAGAAAAATATTTTCTTATGGACATGTTATATTGACACAGGTTACTTTCTATTTTGTTTCCATTTTAAGGGACTTTCCTGCACAGCTCTTGCAGACAGCTGTTGTCTAGTAAGTTATCAGCTCTACCACCAAATTTTCACATGACCATATTCATCGCATCTCCCTCCATCCCCCCACATCATTCCCAATTCTTTCCTGTTACAGTACCACCCCAACGTGCATGAGCATTTTTTAGCTCTTCATCTAGCCTTTCTAGGGGAAACTTGAACTTCAGAGATCTTTATTTTTAGCTCATATTTGACTGAAACAGGACAAGGGTGTCAAAACTTGCAGAGATTAGGAATAAAGACAGGCAGGGTTGCCAAAGGTGATGTTTTGTAAACGTCCTTAGGAAATAACTCAACCTAAACAAACACTCCAAGGCAAACAGACATGAGCACTCTTTTGACAGTGCTGCAGCCTCTCACATGGAAAGCTGATGGCTGTACATTAGTTTGTCTACAGCTGTCCCTGCTTCAGCTCAGAAGTTCCTGGTGGTCTGTGAACCCAAAATTCAGTTTGAAGATGCTCTTACTAACAGCTTGAAACTACATAGATCTTTATCCTGCCTGACATGAACACAACTGACGCCAGGAGTTAGGACAAAGCTCAATCTTGAGTGCAGAAAAGCCCTTAATGCACCAAAGCCTGGGTAATCTCCCACTATTCAATGAGACAACTGTGTAAGGAGTACCTAAACATTGCTGATCACTAGCTCTCCATCTCCCAACATAACATGCCATCTCCACATCTGGATAGCACCAGTGCCTCACCAAGGGAAATGGTTGCAATTATGAAAAATAAAATGTTGATTTTTACCAGCCACAGGTCTGTCCCAAGGTTTTATGATAACATTCCCACATTCATATCATTCCTCACTCAGTGGAGTTTGTCTGGAGTCCCACTGATTTTGAAGTAGTTCAAATATGTCTCCGTGTATTTTGTTTCTTCTGGAATCCAGTCTATGCCACATTTGCATCTCAAAAGTGCAGCAGGATAATCCTAGTGCAGATGCTACAAATTATTTGTCAATTAAACCAGAACTTGTTCCTCCTCCCTTTTCTTTTAAGGAAGTGTCTAGAGAAGGGAATTACTCTGATACTTTCAAATTGCTCTTTTGAAACATGACATGGCCTGTTACATCCCCTTACCACCTGAGATATACCAACAGTGGAAGGCAAACTTGGTGCTCAACTCAAGAAACAAAAAATAATACATATATTTACACAATCAGAGTGAAAAGAACCACAGAAGCACAATGAAAAAGCTATGTCTGCAGGTATGCCAGCAGGGGCAACTTTAAACAAATCAGGAAAATACCACACTTGAGGGCTTCTCTTTGCATGTGGGCACTTAGATACCAGTAGAATTGGAAAAAAATAAATTTGACAGAGCTACATTCCAGTTTATAGCACTCAGAAGAGGAACCAAGGTGGGAAACAGAAGAGTGACATCATCATCACAGACAGGAGACCAGACAATACCACACAAAAGGCAAGAATCTGAAAAAAAAACACAACCCAGAACCAAGAGCCTGCATATTCTGTGAGCATCAAGTGAAAGGAAACCAAGGCAGGGCAGACACAGGCTGCAAGTCCGTCAGCAGAAACCGCGCAGAGCAAACGTGTGGAGCCAAGCATGGAGGTGATGGTGCAGCAGATTTACAGACATGCTCAGCAGGGGTGGACATAGCCAGGTTTGCTATTACCAAAGAAGAACATGACCCTCAGGGTGAGAGGCCAGGGGTTATATTTACCACAACAAGTAACACTCGTGCCCTGAAGCAGTCTCTGACCCACTGTGAAATGTCTTAGAGAAGCTATGGGCACATGCAGAGCCTATCATAAAACCAAGGTTTTGTCAACTGAAAGGACTAACAAGTACTAAAAATAAAGGCTTTAACAGCAAACACATAAAAGACATTGAAGAAAAAGATGTATCTTAATGATGCTGAGCCGCACAGAGAATACATTTCAGAATTTTTGTTGTATTGGTCTGGCTGTTTAGTTTGTTAGGGGTTTTTTGTTTATTTGTTTTTTGGTTAGTTGTTTTTAAAAAAAAAAAAAAAAAGACCAAGAAACCGAATTAATAATTTATTCACTTACAACTAGACCTCCCCTAACACAAAAAGACCCTCTTAAATGGAATAACACACATTAGAAAGAGGCACAACAAAGGAAATGAAAATGACTGGCACCCCCAAGGAATGTAAAAGGAACCTGAACAACTCTCCTCAGCTCTGCATCCTCCTGGATAGAGGAGAATGAGGAAGTATAAGGTTGGTTTTGCATTTTGACCAGTACTTTCATGCTGCTTGCATGCCACCAAGTCAGTTGCATAAAACTAGATAGCCTGAGAACCCAAGCCCTAGCAAGGACAGTCTAAGAAGAACAGGGGAAGAGTGGAGTTTTGTAGGGGTACTTCAACAAGACAAGCTGACATGGCTGGAGGAAAGGCTGAACCCCTGAGTATCCATCTTGTGGCCTTGCTGAACTGTTATTTCTCTGAAATAGAAAGTAGATTTTTATAATCCTATGCCTACAGACCTTTATATTCTTATTTGACAAGACCATTTAATTTGGGGGAAATCTCTCCTAGGTGATTCTTACAGAAACCACCATAAAATAAAGTATAAAGTCTCAGCCAACATTTAGTATCAGACAGAAACGATCCAGGTTCCTTGTATATTTTATATGTATGTTTAGGTCAGCAGAAGCCTTATAGATGCTATAGCTTATGCTCTAAATGAAATAGATGTGAGCAGGTTATGCATCCATGTAAGTACCTCTGCAGGCATTATTCAGCAAGGCTTGGATAAATCAGAATTCATAATGTGCAATTTCTTAGAAGTTCCTTGGTTCAAAAATACCAGAGGTCCTGGAATTCCCTGATTCCTGGGCACTTGCTTTCATCTTCAAACAGCTAACTAAAAGGACACAAAACAGCTTCCTCCCAAATGAGAGAAAAGACCATTTCCTATTTCCCTATTGCAAAATGTGGACAGATGTTTGTAAAACAAAAATATACTTAAGCACTGGACAGAAAAATGCCCCATTTCCTGTGTAGCAAAACAGCCCAAAACCTCCTCTTCTTAGGTAAACAGGAGTTTTGCTACTGACTTTCTCGCTGTAGGCTTGGAAACTGCACTCTGTGCTGCATGAGGCATGAAAGCCATAGCAAATGAAAAGAGAAAAAACAAACAAACAAAATATGACAACAACAATCAAAATCTCTGCAAGTCCAGCTTTTCCCTGTTTAGAGCCCACCAGTCATTGCTGTTGGGACTTACCAATCTTACAACAGAGTAACGTCTCTTAATTCAAGTGGTAGATCCTGCCCAACCCTCCCCCCTCCCCTCCCTGGTAACTTATAACACAGAAATTCTGGATAAATGAATTATTAATCCTACCATATTCATTTTCAATTAGCAGCTGAGACAGAGACACATTCATATAGGGTAGATTGTGCAATCTCACTTTTATGGGTGAGCACACACCACAACAGCAATAGATTGTGCAACCCTCAGTGACTGCCTGAGCACTTATAATTAGGCCCATCTGAATTTAATATAGTAACACCAATTTATACCAGCTGAGGATCTGGCTCACTCCTATTTTAAATGGC